TGTTATTCTTTCTCCCCAATATTCCAATATATTTTATTCTAAAAATCAAATCGTATTATCCAAAATTTCTTTACATTATTGAAATTTCCTGTAAAATTCATTCTCCTTTAAATTGAAAATATTATTATTGCACCTATCTAAATGCCCATCATTCTCTTATCCACTTCCAATACACCATTGTGTAATTAAGCTAACATGGAACTCTTTGTAATGTCATTGTTTTTGTTGTTGTTTTTATTTTTTTTTTAACAATTTATAATTTTTTTATTAAAACAATTTTCGTTGACATTTGTGTTAATTCAGGGTTACAGCCCCCTCTCTGTATTTCTGTTTGGCGTATTTTGCTAATTTGAGACATGCGTGTTGGCTTGTTTTGTTGTTTCCTTTGGGCGAAAATATTTGAGTGTTGCGTTCGTTCGTTCGTTGCTGTTTTTGTTGTAGTGGTGTTGTGTAGGGCGGGAGCTTTTGGTTGAATGCTGAAATAATGTTGCGCAGTAATTTTAGGGGTCATTTTTAATTCCAACCGCAAAATATGGTTGAATTTAGTTCGGTCGGTTCTGGTGGTGGATGCCGGTGGTGTGTAAAACAGCAAATAGGAGTTGTGTGGTTCTTTTTTTTTTGTATCGCCAAAGTGACATTTAATTGCCAATGGAAATTATCTATGGTTTTTGCGGGGAGTGTTTTTGGGAAATGTAATTTTTATGAAGGATTATTTGAAATTATTCAATGTTTTGAGGGGAGTTTGAAGAAATATTTTTTTTTTTGGGAAATTTATTTTTTTGAAGGATTATTTGAAATTGATCAATATTTTGAGGGGAGTTTTGAGAAATAACGTTTTGTGAAGGATTTATGAATTTCGAAATTTTCTATGATTGAATACATTTACGGAACTGTTGAGGGATTTCAAATAACTTGATTGGCCATTGAAAAATCAATGATTTCCAGGCAAAAATACTCAATTCCACAAAGAGAAAATAATAATTCGCTTTAAGCCTTTTCACAATTTACCTTCCTGTTTCTTTGGCCAAATCAATTGGTTTTAAGTTTTCTTGGTTTCCCAAGAAAACGAGAGACAGACAGTCAGTCAGACAAACAAACAAATGTAGGCAATACAAACTGAAATCGAATCATCATTGGAAACGAAATCAAAAACCGGGCATCAAAAGTCTTCCTCAGTTAACAGACGGACTGACCCAACGACAGACAATCGTTCAAACATTCAGATCGGCAATCATAAGCATTTAAACATGGTTGAATGGTTTGCTGTGTTATTTCGAAGTTGTTTTTTTTTTCTTGGCTGCTGCCAATAATTTAGCCCAAGTTTGGTTGGTTTCATATTTCAACGAATGTTATTCTGTCTTGCAATGATAATTCATATTGAAGTCTATCATAAGACCGCTCGCGCTCGCTCTCGCGCTACTTACCAAACTGCTCTACTACATTTCCACACACAATGAAAATATATGACCATTATTATTCATCATATCAGATGGGGAGTAGGGGGAAGGGGTGCTGGACTTGTGTTGAACAGGAAACCAAAGTCGACGAAACAAAACGAATTCGCATTAACAAATCAAAAGAAGAAAAACCTTTATGAAAATTACAATCTAAGCGGAATCGTGCAGAAAGACAACATAAATTTCAATTTGATTTTTGTTTTCTTGGGGGGGAATTTTTCTACTCTTTCGACTCTCTTTCGACTCTCTTTCCATGTGATTGTTGTCTGATTGTTGGCTTAGTTTGCAACGACAATTGCAGGTTATGTTGCATTGTTGATTGCTGGCACAATACTCAAATGCAATTAGCAGTCATACATACAGATATATGTGTGTGTGGAAAGGAGGGAATTCTTTTGAGTTTTCTAAGATGGAAACATGATATATTTTCCTAAAGGTGAAGTATTTTGAAAAAAAAAAAACAAATTTTGGAGAAAAAATAGTACAAGACCTTTTTTATAGTTTCTGAAATTTTCGGATTCAGGTTCCCTGGAAACTTTACATTTTTGGGTATAAAGTGACTTCGGTAATATTACAGATACGAGAATTGATTTCGTCGAACAATTAAGTTTGTCATTCCGTTTGTAACACCTCGAAATACACATTTTAGATCCCACAAAGTATATATATATTCTTGATCAGCATAAAATTCTATGTCGATTTAGCAATGCCCGCCTATCCGTCTGTGGAAATCACTCTAGCTTCCGAATGAAATGAAGTAGGTTGATAAAATTGTACTCAATTGTATAGTATGTCTGCAGGACTTTTAGTATTGAAAATGGACTATGTAGGTCCACGTCTTCGTATAGCCCCCATATAACGGTACCCTCCGATATATGGTATTTTGATGATTTTAGCGACACTATTTACCGGAATTGCTTCAAATTTGGTATTTGAAGTTCGTAACGGATACTACAGCATATGACAGGAGATTGTCTGTGCTGGACCTGCATATAACGGTACCTCCCGATATGCGGTATTTTGATGAATTTAGCGACATCATTTACCAGAATTGTTTCAAAATTGGTACATAAAGTTCGTAGTAGATACTACGGCTTAAGACAGAAAATGCGCCATGTAGCCCCCCACGTCTTCATATAACCCCATATAACGGTACCTCCCGATATTCGGTATTTTGATGATTTTTGCGACATTATTTACCGGAATTGTTTAAAATTTGGTATTTGAAGTTCGTAATGGATACTACAGTAAAAAACAGAAAATGGGCCATGTAGGTCCACGTCTTCGTATAGCCTCATATAACGTTACCCTCCGATATTCGGTATTTAGATGATTTTAGCGACATTATTTACAGGAGTTGTTTAAAATTTCGCATTTGAAGTTCGTAGTGGATACTACAGTCTATGACAGAAAATTGTCTGTACAGGTCCACGTTGTACAACCCCCACATAACGGTACCTTCCTATATTTGGTATTTTTATGATTTTAGCTACATTATAAATATTGAATATTGTAATAGCTTGTGACAGGACTCTCCTATGCATCTCCATGTCGTCGTATATACCTTAACAGAATTTTTAACGGATTTTATTTTTTAGAAAATGCCAATTTTTTACCAAATGGTGGAATGTATTCAAAGTTCGACCCGGCCGAACTTACAGCTTTTTTACTTGGTTACACTCAGAAGAGTCACTAAAAGACTTTTTTGAGTTTTTTGGTACTGCGTTACTTTAGCCCATTTCCGGCGAAAAGATCGCTTAAGGTGCTCGACACTGTGGTATTTTTTAGTGCCAACCTTGATTTCCAAAATATTCCAGACACATTAGTCCCACGGATTGGTATCCGAAGATTTTGGTGGCTATTGGGCGCTGCAAATGATGCATATTGATGGGTGCGATGGTGCTGAGTTCTGTTGGAATATTCAAGGTCTGCGGCCAAAATGTTAAATGGCTTTAATACACCCTGCAGAATATTTTAGCGATAATATTCGGTATTTATTCTGAAGCCACGGTCGATTAATACGAGCGGAGAGCGACCATCGGCTGTTATGGCGGCCCACACCATCACCATGGCCGGCGCTTCTGTTCTGCTGGCCAACCGAAAGTGCACATTTTCAGCTGACCTCCTTGGCAAGTATACACGATCATTTTGTTTGTTTACAAACTGCTGGGCAACGAATGTTTACTCGTAGGAAAACCCAAATTCGGCAGATCACCACTTTCAGCCAAGCGCAGCAAATCTTTTGGTCTTTTGTGTCTAATTTCTTTCGGTTCCGGTGTAAGTTTTTACACTTTTTGGAATTTCAATGGCTTTACCCCGAGCTTATTCGGCCACTGCGACGCGTGTTTCGATCAAGTCGCTTCTTTAATTTTTGAATAATTTCTGCTGATATTGCTGTTTTCTTCCGTTCATTTCCTTGACGTCGGTCTCGCTACCAGTATCACGGTAAAGAGGAATGGTACGAGACACAAAAGATTCATTCACGTTTAAATGCTGGAGTGCTCTAACGATAGCCACTTGTGGTTTTCCAGCCAAATATAAATAAATTGCACTATCACGCATGAATTCCTTCACGAATATCTTCTTACCTGGAAAATGCTCACCAAAATGCTTTTATACGCTTGTAAAAAATACAATGAGCTATCACTGGAATAAATTTAACAGCTGTCGGACGAGTTGTTTAGAAATTATAGCATTCTGAAGTTGGTTGCAGGTTTTTCATCTCACCCTGCATAGTTTATCCCACTGTGAAAGTTTGTGTAGAATATTTCTTCCTTTAACATCATTCGCCGAAAACAAATGTTTATGCTACTTTCAGTTGTTAACTAGGAAAAAGTTCGAGAAAAACTTACTCAAAAAATGAGACAATAATTTCGGTTTTATTTTTTTGTGGACAATTGATTGCTCGAAATTTGAAGAATAGTTTTGTTTTTGACGTCATCCTTCGGAAATTATGCTTTGTTGGAGATGTTTGCATAAACTCGCACAAAGTATGGTTTTAAACTTAAAATGTGTTTTTAGTATTTTGGGATTCCTATTATTTTGATAAGACTCTCGATGTCTTCCGAGGCCTATAGTCGAATTTTGTTTTGTAGAATATTTTGACGTGCTGCGATCCCGTTTAAAGGGAGTTTTTAACCATACCTTCGAAATGGGACCAAAAACCCAATTCTTGCGTCGTTATCTGCAATATTGCCAAAGACGCTATATACCTAAAATCGATGGAATGAAAGATATCTTAATCCGAAGTTCTCCAAAAATGGTTGAAAAGGAAAATTCCTATAAGCATTGATAGTTTGTAAAAAAAGTATCCTTATCCGATAAAAATTTCTGGGTATCATAACAAAGGTTCATTCAAAAAAAAAAAAAAAATTAAATTTGTCGCCTAGTGTTTTGTTCCAATCACTATTCGGTAGTACGTAGAAAAATATCCATAGCTCGAAAAAAATTCCTCGCCGTGAATCCAACATTTTTTTTTTTGATATATCTCAAAATTGTACCCTCAAATAATTTTCCAATTTTTTTATATTTATTCAATTTCAGACATGAAATCCCCACTCTTAGCAAACGGTTACAATCCCCCGCCCATTAATCACATGGCATTCATGCAAATGAATCATCATCCCGGCTCGGCTTTGATGTCACCCGGTATGCCACCACATGGCCTGCACACACGGCCCGATAGTCAAATGTTGAAGGCGGCTGCCCAGAGTGGTATGTCAGCGGCAAATATGGATGCCTTGGCCCGATCGGGTATTTGGGAGAATTGTCGAGCGGCCTATGAGGATATTGTTAAGCATTTGGAAAGGTAAGGGTCTTCAATTTTGTTCTTGTTATCCATCAAAACATTTCGAAGAGTCTTCGAATTCTATTTCCAAAATCAAATGTCTATTTTTTTCATTTCAGACTTCGCGAAGAACGCACCGATGAACGCCAGCAAATGGGTGGTGGTTCGGCTGCCGGCGGCATGGGCAGTGTTGAACCCAAACCCAGAGACTTGAGTTCACGTAATTGTAGGTTTCATTAACTGCTGTTTTATTTGGTTTTTCTTCTAAAACGATCGCTTTTTTGGTTTCTTTATTTCCCCATTTAAAGGCTCGCCAAATCGTCAAAGTCCTGTCTTAAATCTTTCCAAATCCGGCGGTAACACCGATCAGGGTAGCAATTGTGATGAGCGTAGTGAACGCAGTGATATGCATTCGCCAGCCCACTCGGTACGCGATGATAGCATAGAACGGGTGAGCGGTCGCAGTGCCGGTGATGTGGGCGGGGTCAATGATCGCAACAACATGGACGATGAAGATATTGAAAATATGAGTGATGATAATGTTTCCGATGTCGATGATCGTATGGTGAAAGATGAAGAAGGTAAGAAGGGGAATACATATTAAATAACAATAACAAAAATATTAAGAATAACATTAAGCTTCAAAAAATAAAATTAAAAAAAATTAATTTGTAAAAAAAATATAAAAATATATATATTTTTATTTTTGTATGACAGTATTTTTTTTAATTATAAACAAAAACATTTGTAGTTTTTTCAATTTAAAAATATATCACTTTTAACATTAAAAATAATTATTAATATTTAACAAGAACATTTCTAGTTTTTTCTTATATTGTTTTTAAATATAAAAATATATATTTTTAAAAATTTATTTATTACAGCATTTTTAGCATTAAAAAATATTTATAAATAATTATAAATATTTTTTTATGCTAAAAAATTATAATTAAATTTGTAAAAAATATGAAAATATATATATTTTTTATTTTTGGTTTATAACGTATTTTTTAAATTATTTAATTATTTTTTTTTTGTTAAAAAAATATTTTTTTGTTTATGACAATATTTAAACAAATTATAAAAAACATTTGTAATACGTATTTTAATTCTTTTTTATTTTTTTCTTGCTCTCCTTCCAGACTTGAGTGATGTTGAACGTGATAACATTTCCACCACCTCCTCCTCCCAACGCCATTTACAACACACTATGCCCGCCTCTGCCGCATCGATGTCAGCCTCCGCTGCTGGCGCCGGTGGTGATCGTATCTCGGTTACGGATCGCGACTCTACCCATCCGGCTTTGCAACATAGTTCACCGTCGCATCAGGCTGCCGCCGTTGCAGTCTTACAACATCAAAGAGCTTTGAATTATTCACAATTGGCGGCGGCAGCAGCGGCTGCCAATGGTGCTGTGAATGGTCCCACTGGTGTTGTGCCTGGCGCGAATAGTGTTGGCGGTGCAGGAGGTGCCCTAACACCCAATGAAGCGCTTCAGATGGCCACCGCCGATGCCACCTCTGCCGCAGCAGCATTAGCTGCAGGTGGTCTATCATTGGGACCCTTGGCCATGGATCCTGGTTTACCCTCATCGACAGAGACTTTACTGAGGAATATACAAAGTCTGCTCAAGGTGGCGGCCGATAATGCCCGTCAACAGGAAAGGCAAATTACATATGAGAAAGGTAAGATTTTTAGCTGGAAAATATTAAAAAAAATTACAGGACAGGGAAATTGAAAAATATTTTAAAAGAATGCCGACATTAATAGCGGGGCCATCTCCCAGAAAACTTATATTGCTGGGTTGAATATCCTCGAATTTTTTTTAGGGGAAAAGTTCACTTTTTTATATTGACGTTTATAGGGACCATCTGCTTGAAAACTTAATTTGTTGTCCTTGAAAAATAGCTGGAAAAAAATTAATGTTTTTAGAGCGGAATATCCTTTTTTTAATATTATATCCTTGAAAAATATTTTGAAAAATCTGTGAATATTGAGAAATAATATTGGTAAAAATATTTTGATAAAAGTGCAACTTTTATTGGTAGATAGTCATTAAAAAATATTAAAAAAATATATGAAAATAATGGGGAATGTCCTTGAAAAATATTTAAAAAAAAAGGACGATGTTCATCTGTCTGTCCGTCCGTCCGTCTGTTGAAATTATTATAGAGTGAACATTCTTTAATTTAGAGCTAATTTTTCAGAGCGGAATATCCTTGAAATTTTTTTTTAAATATTAAATCCTTGAAAAATATTTTGAAAAATCTGTGAATATTGAGAAAGAATATAGGTAAAATATTTTGATAAAAGTGCAACTTCTATGGGTGGATTGTCAATAAAAAATATTTTAAAAAAATCTGAAAAGGATGGAGAATGTCCCTGACAAATATTTTCAAAAAGGACGATTTCCATCTGTCTGTCCGTCCTTCGGTCCGTCTGTTGAAATTATTATAGAGTCAACATTATTTAATTTAGAGCTTCATAATCTTGCACAAAGTTTTATATTATATGCAGGCTGAGTGGTATTGAAAATGGGCTTTATTGGTCCACGTTTAGGTATAGAACCCATATAACGGTACTTACCGGTTTTCGGTATTTTGAAGGTTTCTGCCACAATTTTCGACCAAATTAGATGAAACTTATCAGTTGGGGTTCTAGGTAGGTCTGTTCTCTTCCTGCAAAAAAATCGCTACAGGTGCAATAATTGGTATAGCCCTCATATAACAGTACCTTCCGATTTTCGGCATTTTGAAGGTTTCTGCCATAATTTCCAAACAAATTAGCTGAAACTTGATAATTGGGGTTCTCGGTAGGAATGTCATCTTCCTGCAAAAAAAAAAAAAAAAAAAAAAAAAAATCGCCACAGGTCTTCTAATTGGTATAGCCCCTATATAACGGCACCTCCCGATTTTCGGTATTCAATCAAAATATTTGAAACTTGACATTTGGGGTTCTCGGTAGGTCTGTTCTCTTCTTTCAAAAAATATTCGTTACAGGTCCACTAATTGATATAGTCGCCATATAACGGTATCTCTCGATTTTCGTTATGTTATAGGTTTCTGTCACAATTTCCAATCACATTAGCTGAAACTTGATAATTGGGGTTCTCGGTAGGTCTATTCTCTTCCTGCAAAAAAACATTCGTTACAGGTCCTTTAATTGGTATAGTCGTCATATAACGGTACCTTCCGATTTTCGGTATTTTGAAGGTTTCTGCCATCATTTCCAATCAAATTAGATGGAACTTGGCGATTAGGGTTCTCAGTAGGATTGTTCTCTCCTTGCAAGAAATATTTGCCTACAGGCCCACTAAATGGTATGGCCCCCATATAAAGGGCACTCCCGATCTTCGGTATTTTGACAATTGAAGCCACATTTTCTAACAATTTTTGTTTTTTGGCCATGGTGGAGGGTTTAAAAAGTTGGGCTGGGATGAACTCCATAACATCGATGTTTAGAAAAATATATCAAATACAGCTCAGAAATATTGCAAAAATTTATGAAGATCGGTTCAGATTTGTATATAGCACCCATTTATATCTTTATCCGATTTTAAGTTTATTGTGCGCCAAACGGGGAATATAAACCTGAATAAAATGGATAGTTGCACATACTACAGAATTCAGCCTAGAAGAAAGTGAGCCGAATTTGATGAAAATCGGTTCAGATATAGCTATAGCTCCCATATATATTTTTCCTCCGATTTTGTGTTTAAGTCCCTCCAACCTATAAAATGAGGTCCACAACACCGATATTTAGTGCCAGCTATCAGATACAGCATAGTAGTAACTCTGCTAGATTTTATCGAGATTGGTTGTGATTTAGATTTAGCTTCCATAATAAACCTTGGCACATCTAACCGAATTCTGTCATGAAACAAATACTTCAAATTTGATAAAAATCGGTTCAGATATAACTATAGCTCCCAAGCATACTTTTCATCCGATTTGGCGTTTAAGTTCCTTACATTCGAAATACGCACTCCAAAACAATGACATTTGGAAAATTTTATCGATATTTGGTGCTAGCTTCAGGATATACCTTTTATATATTAGTTCTCTCTGATTCAAAAACAGCTGCTTCTCATAAATTCCCAATATAGACGTTTATTTGTTACGGGTAGCTCTACTATATATACACAGTGATAAATGGTCGACCCCGTCCGATTTTTGACCTCTCTTTACTTTTACCTTTTTCTTATATCATTGCCCACTAATAAATTTTGGCTTTTCTTGTTTTCCTCTTTTTTTGCAGCTGAATTAAAAATGGATGTTTTACGCGAACGTGAAGTCAAAGATTCATTAGAAAGGCAATTAGTCGATGAACGGAAGTTAAGAGGTAAGTTAACAACATAATTTACATATTTGTTTTGTGGCATCATGATAAGCATAAGCAGAAGTTTCCCTTGGGCCCCATCATCCAACATTCGGATCAAAAGCAATCGTAACGTAATTTGCAAATACCGCACGAATTAAGATTGCATTTTAAATGATTGCAAATAACAGCAACAACATTGTTGTAGGCGAATACCGCAAAAACAAAAAAAAAAAAAAAACACACACACACATACACATAAAAATGCAATTCGTTTTGCAGTGCAGAGGAAATACGTTTTTCATTTGAGTTTTGGTAATGGATTGCAGCTTGGGCTATGTGAGAGACCAAGCATCCATAAGAGGTATTTTCTTCTCCTTATGTTATACCGGTTGGCCAATAAATAACGGCAACAAATAAGCGTATTTGGCAGAGTACCAATCGAATAACTCACTGATGAAGATGCATGCCAATTTTCCATGAGGGGGGAGGGGTTGCTTTCATTGACTTTTTTACCAAAAATTTAATTTTTTCTCTTTAACTAACAACTTTCTTCGAGTGTATCCCATTGAAGAAACCAATATTTTTGCTCACCTAAGAAAAGAAACAAAAGAAAAATTTATATTTTATTTTTATTTTTGTTATTCCTTCTTTTACTCAATACATTTAGTCTGTCATAGTTATTCAACATTGTATTCCTTCTTCACTGAAGTGTTTATAATTCAAATTGACTCAAATAATGGCCCATAATGACACCTGATATCATCGTATTTGGATCGTCGTCATTGGCGTTATTTGTGTTAAAGGGGCGAAATGTAGAAATGCGAATGCCAATAAAATGAAAAAAGCAACTTCACTCCACTGCAGCAGACCAACAGAACAACAGCGACCTCCGACGATTGTCTGGACCTTGTGCTCCACTGCTGTTGTGTTTATTGAAAATTCCCGATCGAACTGAATGTTTTTGAGTTTCTTTATTTTTTTTTTTACTTAATGTTGTTATTCAATATCTTAAGTAGGGGAAAAGTGTCCTTTTAGCAATGACGACGAAGAGGAACAACTTAAACTTAAACAGCACCACATTCAAATCAATATCTTAAAGATACAACATTATTCATTTAAAAATACACATATTTTGCCTTTGGAATTTAATGTTCCACCAATGATGGACGATGTTAAAGGCGAGAGAGGTATGTGAATTTTGGGATTTAAAGAAGGGATTTAAAATTTAGAATTAGAACAGAAGGTATATTTAAAAAAAATCTAAAAAAAGATAACTCTGTCTCTTTCCTAAACCATGGTATTCCCGGCCTTCCCCCCGGTAAACATTGCCATCTTTCTCCATTGATAAACAAAAGCTGTTTTTATAAAAACAAGAATCATAGGATTAAGCCTAATTATTGTGGAAATCACTCTAGTTTCCGAACGAAATGAAGAATGGTATTGAAAATTGGCCATGTAAGTCCACGTCTTCGTATAGCCCTCATATAACGGTACCCCCGATATTCGGTATTTTGATGATTTTAGCGACATTATTTACCGGAATTGTTTCAAAATTGGTATTTAAAGTTTGTAATGGATACTACAGCCTATGACAGAAAATTGACTGTGCGGGTCCACGTCTTTGTATAACCCCCATATAATGGTACCACCCGATATTCGGTATTTTGATGATTTTAGCGACATTAATTACCGGAATTGTTTCAAATTTGACATTTGAAGTTCGCAATAGATACTACAGCATAAAACAGAAAATGGGCCATGTAGGTCGACGTCTTCGTATAGCCCCCATATAACGGTACCACCCGATATTCGGTATTTTGATGATTTTAGCGACATTATTTACCGGAACTATTTCAAAATTGGTATTTAAAGTTTGTAATGGATACTACAGCCTATGCCAGAAAATTGTCTGTGCAGGTCCACGTTTTATAACCCCCATCGTACCATCCCATATTCGGTATTTTTATGATTTTAGCTACATTTTAAACCAATTTTTTTGAGTTCGTATTTGAATATTGTAATGGCTTCTGACCTGCCTATGCAGGTCCACATCGTCGTATAGACCCTAATATACGGCTAAATTCGGTATTTTTGAGATTTTAACAGAATTTTTAACGGATTTTATTTTTTTGATAATTGCCAAATTTGTACCAAATGGTGGAGGGTATTCAAAGTTCGGCCCGGCCGAACTTACAGCTGTTTTACATGTTTTTTTCTTAATTTTTATTGAATGAAAGCAAAAAATGTCGGAAATAGCTATCTAGCAAATGTTAGAAAAAGTTTAGATTTGTTCGAATTGCTCATCTTTGGCACGAATTATGGCCTTCAAACGCTCTGCGCTATTTTGGCCCATTCCCGGCGAAGCGCTTGCTTGAGGTGATCGACACTTTGGTTATTTTCTGGTGCCAGCCTTGCTTTCCAAAATACTACAGACACAATAGACCAACGGATTGGTATCCGGAGATTTTGGTGGTCATTGTGCTCTGGAAATGAAGCGAGGAACCTCATTTTCTAACGATTTTTGGGTGACACGTGCTGAGTGCGATGGGGCTGAGTCCTGTGAGAATGTTCAAGGTATGCGGCCAAAATTTTAGCGTGTCCAAGGCTTTAGTACACCCTCTAGAATATTTTGGTCGATTAATACAAGCGGAGAGCGATCATTGGCTGTTATGGCGGACAACACCATCACCATGGCCGGCGCTTCATTTCTGGTGGCCAACCGAAGATGCACATTTTCAGCTGACCTCTTTGGCAAGTAAACACGATCATTTTGTTTGTTTACCAACTGCTGGACAACGTATATTTTCGCATCGGAGAAAACCAAATTCGGCAGTTCACCACTTTCGGCCAAGCGAAGCAAGTTTTTAGCTCTTTTGAGTCTATTTTCTTTCTGTTGCGGTGAAAGTTCTTGCACTTTTTGGAATTTCAATGGCTTTACCCCGAGCTCATTTTACATATGTGTCGAAAGGAATATTGCAATATGTTCAGCTCACGAGCCATTTTTTGGCCACTGCGACGATGGTTTCGATATAGTCGCTTCTTTACTTTCCGAACCATTTCTCTTGATGTTGCCATCCACTTCCTTGACGTCGTGCTACGCTACCAGTATCACGGTAACAAGCGATGGTACGAAACACAAAAGATTTATTCACTTTTAAATGCTGGAGTGTTCTAACGATAGCCACTTTCGGTTTTCCAGCCAAATATAAAGATCACGCTTGAATTCCATCACGAATAACTTTTTTTCTGGAAAATTCTCACCAAAACGCTTTTGTACGTTTGTAAACAATATAATGAGCTGTTACTGAAATAATTTTAAGAGCTGTCGGACGAGTGGCTTAGAAGTGACAGTCTGTAGAAGGTTGCAGTTTTTTCATCTCACCCTGTAGTAGAATTTTATGACAAATAATTTTGTAGGATATCTTGAGTTTCTACGTTTCCATTTAAAGGGAGTTCTTCACCATATTTTCAACAGAGGACCGAAAAGCCCCCTTTTTTACTCGATTGTGGGTAAAATTTTCTACTTAAATATTCCTCGACTTTTTTTTAATTACCCAGTCTATTTATATCGACCTCGTTTATTATAATTTAGTATCAAATGTTGCCTTGTTTTTTTTTTTTTCTTTTGGTCTCTTCTTGTCTCTCCGCTTATCCCGCTGATTCGGATTTCAACAGAAATCAAAGAATAAATTTAATAACATTTGATTAGTTGGTAACACTCGAATGCTATTGCATATTTTTTTGCAAATTTGAAAAGAGAGAAAACGAAACTAAAAACCCTACCAGAGTACAACCTGATCCGTATGGCATAAGTAGGTAGGAGGACAGTTAAGAACTAAAATAAAGATACATTACGACAAATGGAGACGTTGTGTCGCGGCAGCTATTCAAATGACATGTTGCTGCGACTTCAATGACGGCATCATCATCATCATACACTGCAGCTCGATGCCATACTCAGAATGCCATGCATCCCACAAAACCCAGCCCATAACAGAAAAAATGGCAAATTTATTTCCCATTATTGCTGCTACTCCACCTCCTTCTCCTTTGAAATGGAACAACAATTGCATTTATTTGTGTATAATTATTTTCTTCTTTGCTTTGCTGCTCTTCTCCATTCCATGGAATTGGGGAAATCGAAATTGTAACGCATTGTGATTTTATTCCAAATAGACTTCGAATAGCAAATCAAACTGGCACATACACACACACCGGATGGAAACCTCCCAGTCTATCGTTCATTCATCCATTCGTTCAGTCGTTCATTCCATGGGCTCCAGTTGAGTGATTATGCCAATTGAGGTGTGTCATTTGATATTATAAAGACCTCCATATCCGAATCATTGAAGCAAAGCGTTCTGTTTTTTTTTTTTTTTGTCTCGGCAAAAGGCATTCAACGAACGTTAGACGACATATCGTTTATATTGTGGGTTGTTTTATTCGCCACAGATAGAAAATTATCAAAGATTAGTTTCGATTTTTTTCTGGCATGATTTGATGATTTCCTCTATTCCATTTAGCCTGAATTCTAGCTCATCTTGAGTTTCTCAGGAAATCCATCCACAGATCATGAAACACATTTATCTATGATTTTGATGACAGTTTTTTTTGCCGATGTCTGCGAAACCGAAATACATGGAATTGATTTGCTTAAATGGTATGATTTAATCTTTGCATCGATTATTTGTGCCAATAATTGAAAATGACGTGGGAAAATAGTTCAAAATTTTTTAATAGGAAGAAGAAGGAATATATATTTTTTGGATTTTGATATCGGTGACAAATTCAGGGAAAAAAAATCAGAGCGGATATTTTTGGAAGAGAATTAAAAAAGAGGATACTTAAACTTGACTACCCTTACAGCAAATCAAATATTTTGAAAATCATATAAGAGTCCAATTGGGCAAATATAAGTCATATTGAAATTTAAATCAATAGCGTGTTCCATGACAAAAATGCAGCTATGAGCGGCTGCGGAAAATGCACATAAACATAATTTATTAAAAGAAACTAGATGCTTCAAATAAAAATTTGGTCAAAACGCAAGATTGAATAATTTAAATAAAGTCTGGAACAAATCAATAAAATTTAAGGGTACATTTGGAAAAGACAGCGAGAGAGACAAGATGCAGGAACCCAAAATTCAGGTAGTTTAGACAGACCTAAATTCCCCTACCCTCTACTCATTTTAGAGAACACGTTTTTAATACAACAATACCTCGAAATATTCATCTGAGACTCCAAAATACGTATTTTGGATCAGCGTAAAATTTAAAGTCGATTTAGCGATGTCCGCCTGTCTGTCTGTTGAAATTCCGATTAAGTTAACATCATATAATCTAGAGCTTTGAAAATCGATACAACGGTTTATATTATATGCAGGCGGATTGGTATTGAAAATGGGCTATATGGCTCCACGTGTGGGTATAGCCCCCTATAACATTATCTCCCGACTTTCGGTATTTTGAAGGTTTCTGCCACAATTCCCAACCAAATTAGATGAAACTTGGCAATTGGTGTTCCTGCTAGGTCTATTCTCAGCTCGAAAAAATGTTCGAATCAGGTCCACTAATAGGTATCGCCCCCATGAAACGATATCTCCCAAATTTTCGGTACTTTGAAGGTCTCTGCCACAATTCCCAACCAATTTATATGAAACTTGACAATTGGAGTTCCTGCTAGGTCTATTTTCAGCTCAAAAAAATTTATACAAAGTGAGATGAAAAAACTGCAACCAACTTCAGACTGCTGACATTTCAAAGCCACTCGTCCGACAGCTGTTACAATTATACCAGTGACAGCTCATTATATTTTTTGCAAGCGTACAAAATCATTTTGGTGAAAATTTTTTTTCCAGAAAAAAAGTTATTCGTGATGGAATTCAAGCGTGATAGTGTGATTTCTTTATATTTGGCTGGAAAACCACAAGTGGTTATCGTTAGAGAACTCCAGCATTTTAATGTGAATTAATCTTTTGTGTCTCGTAACATCGCTCGTTACCGTGATACTGGCTCGACGTCAAGGAAGTGGACGGAAGAAAACAGCAACATCAGCAGAAATGGTTCGAAAAGTAAAGAAGCGACTTGATCGAAACCCGCGTCGCAGTGGCCGAAAATGGCTCGTGAACTGAACATATCGCAATATTCCATTCGGCAATTATTGAAAAATGAGCTCGGGGTAAAGCCATTGAAATTCCAAAAAGTGCAAGTACTTACACCGCAACAGAGAGAAAATAGACTCAAAAGAGCTAAAGAGTTGCTTCGCTTGGGCGAAAGTGGTGAACTGTCGAATTTGGTTTTCTCCGATGAGAAAACATTCGTTGTCCAGCAGTTTGTAAACAAACAAAATGATCGTATTTACTTGCCAAAGAGGTCAGCTGAAAATGTGCACCTTCTGTTGGCCATCAGAACTCAAGCGCCGCCCTTGGGCCTGCCATAACAGCCGATGGTCGTTCTCCTCTCGTATTAATCGACCGTGGCATCAGAGTAAATGTTGAATATTATCGCGAAAATATTCTGGAGGGTGTATTAAAGTCTTTGGTACGCAAACATTTAGGCCGCAGACCTTGGACATTCCAACAGGACTCGGCACTCAGAATGGTTATAAAATGAGGTTCCTCGCTTCATTTCCAGTGCACAATGACCACTAAAATCGGATCCAGATACCAATCCGTTGGACTATTGTGTCTGGAGTATTTTGGAAAGCAAGGTTGGCACTAAAAACTACCAAAGTGTCGATCAACTCAAACAAGAGCTTCGCTGGAAATGGGCCAAAATACCGCAGAGCAACATTCGGACAGAGTGTGACGATTTCATTGGCCGTTTGAAGGCCATAATTCGTGTCAAACTATAAATTGGATAGATTTTTTTCATATTCAACTGAATTTTTCCATTTTGAGAAGCTCGGTCCGGCATAGCTATTACTCCAATAAGTATTTTTTAATAAATTCTTATCGGAAACATATCATGTATCTTTACAGCAATTTTATTTGGTCCTTGAGGTACAAAAGCCTCTTATGGGAGCTCTGCTAAATACGCGTGGTAATGTAGGCTATCATATAGTTGGCCCTGCCCGACTTTTGACCATTCCTTACTGATATCTAATAAATTTGACTGAAAATTAGTATCTTCGACTTTTGCTATCTCACCATGTTTTAGCGGTTTTATTAAATATTTTGGACAATTGGCGGAAGAGGCATTCCACCGACCGATCCATACTGTTGATGATGTTTTTATTAAATATTTTGAAAAAAATGCCGTCGGAGGTTTTCCATTGGGGTTAAACCGTAAATAGGGTTTCTCATCGCAGATTAATTCCGAAGGATTATATGGGACGGTTGAATAGGGATTCGTTTCCAATTTGATATGTTTTCAAGGACGAACCCTATTGAAATTGGAGATAATCGGTAAAAATTCAGATATAGTTCCCATATATATCTTTGTCCGATTTGCCTTTTATTGTACACCAAACGTGTAATATCAGCCCGAAGAGTATGGAATTTTGCACATAAAACCAAATTAGACCTGAAAATAAGTATGGGAATTTTCATTGAAATCGGTTGAGATATAGCTATAGCTCCCATATATATTGTTCATCCGATTTGTTATTTTTATCCTCCGCAGCAGTAATATGCACTCTGTAACAACAATATTTGGGGAAATTGATCAAATACAGCTCAGAAATACATTTGCTAAATTTTATCGAGATCGGTTCAGATTTGGATATATCTCCCACATATAACTTCGTCCGATTTACCTTTTATTGTGCACCAAACGTCTAATATTTGCCCAAATGGGATGGAATTTGGCACTTACGACCGAATTGAGTCTAGAATCTAGTATGTCAGTATGTATGAAGTTCGGTTCAGATATAGCTATAGCTCCCATATATATTGTTAATCCGATTTGTTATATTTGTTACCCACAGCCGTATTATGCACTCCATAACAACGATATTCAGGGAAATATATGAAATACAGCTCAGAAATATCTTAGCCAAATTTTATCAAGATCGGTTCATATTTGGATATAGCTCCCATATATATCAAATGGGCAATGCAGGTCCGAATTTAAAAGTTACAAATGCTTCGGCATATTTAGTCCTTTGAGCTTTAAATTATAATCATAGCGTGTATGATTGAATTCTCCCATAAAAACTTTTAATTGTTATGTGGAGCTCTACTAAATTAGCAAAGTGGTGTAGGGGATCATAAAGTCGGCCCCGCACGACTTTAAGACTTTCTTTACTGTTTTTTTTTTGAAAATTTTTTGTCTTTTAATTTGCATACTTATTTTCGTCAATGTCCTCAAAATCCAAAATTTAACAATAAACCTGATGAGTCCTTCAATAAAACTAATAATAACGGTTCATTGTCACATTTCATAAACGAAAAAATGCGACAGATGGACTCCATCTCCGGCCACACGCATTTGAAAATATTTACAAGAGAACCAGATAAAGATAAGGTATGTGGGCAAATAAATGAGAAACTAAATCACATTTTACGTTTATCGATTACTTGAGAAATTTGATCGATTGTCTTTTGTGTGTGATTGACGAACATGCAACAAGGCCCAGAATCTACAGACCAACATTCTATCAAAAAAAAAAAAAAAAAAACATTCAGTCCCCCATCATATCCTTCGTTTATTTCTGTTTCAATACCAAAAGTATCGAATTGCATTCAACATAAGTTTGCCGTATTTTTTTTCTCATTTCAGTTTTATATCAAAAACGTTATAGACGTGAACGTAAATTGCGCATTCGTTATCAGCAGCAAGTGGAGGGCGGCAAACGTAAATCGCCCAATGCCACAAATGCCGGCAACAACAACAATGCCAACAGCAATGCCAGTGGTAATAATGGCGGCAACAACAGCAATAATAATAACAACAACAACAGTATAAGCAACATCAATAACAACTCTTCATCGGCTGGGGAGCAACAGCGTTCGGCATCTCTAAATGAGGATGTCCGTTCCATAGATTCAGCCTCGATGCATAGCAAACACAGTGGCAGTATAACAGATCTGACCCGTAAATCAGAACAAGGTAAGAGATGAAACGATGTTCATTTTTTGGTTTCTTTTTCAATATTATCTGTAGATGTATCGAATTTTAAGTTTGTAGGCTAGTAGATTTTTAAGTTTTCATTAGCAAAATCTGTTTTAAAAAGTTTTTTTTAAACAAAGAAAATTTAAAATAAAAAAAAACAAACTAAGTACGCCCCCTAAATGCGTGTTTAACATTTTTTGTTTGTTTCTCTCTCTCGCACTGTTTTGTAACCTCCTGTTTTAACCAACACAGCGTCCTCTATTTCTTCTTCTTCTTCTTCTTGTTCTTCCACTTTCCCTTTAACCTCATAGATCAGGATGGCAAACAAAGTGAAAAGTCTGATAAATCAACAACATCCTCTTTAAATTCCCACAACACCAACAACAACAACAACAATAATTTACATCACACAGCCGACAACAGCAATGACAGCCGTATTCAACAGCAGCAGTCGCAGCAGCAGCAGCAACAACAACAGTCATCATCACAACAACATCTAAGACCCATGTCTGTAAGTCCCAGTTTTAAACGTGAACCTCACTCGGATCATGAATCACGCGGTGCCGAAGATTTACCACCCCAACTACGTCATTTACATCATGCTGCTGCCGTTGCCGCCGCAGCAGCAGCTGCTGGTGGCGCTGACAGTGATCGCCATTCTTCAATGGAACGTCTCAGCGAACGTGTCGACGATATGGATGATCGTCGTTCGGTGGATCGTGACAGTAATCGTCCACCCTCTTCGCATGCTGCAGAGAATAGTTTGGCTGTTGCCGCCGCCGCTGCAGCAGCAGCTGCTGCCAATGGCGGTAAGGGCCAGTGGAATTATCCCGGTATCGATTTAATGGCTACCGGAGCGTTTTGGCAGAATTATTCGGGTAAGTGAAACATTTCTTTCAAACACTTTTTTCATAGATTCGAAACAATTGTTGAGAAACAATTGCTGAGAAAATCCGGGATAAAAGCTCTGAGAGTTCTTGACGAAGATTTTCTAAAAAAAATCCATAAATGGCTTAGAGACATTCTTCAAATATCCAAAATGGTAGCTCAGAGAAGCTCATAAAAATATTTCTGTAAAATCATTTTTGAAATCATATTCCTAAGAAATCCGAAATCATGATTGATAACGAGCCTTTAAAATGAAAAAGCCTAGTTCCCACTTTCAGATCAGCAAATAATGTAAAGATGTCAATTTCGTTATGGAAAACATTACTCGTTTTAATTGAAAGCACTACAAAGTCAAGACAATGGTGGAAATACTCCAGACATAAACAAATCTTGAAAAATTCAAAATAATTGCCAAATAGTTCCAGAAAATATTGTTAAAAATCCAAAATATAATAAAAATAATCCTGAAAGCTTACAATAATCTTCTGAGAGTCCTTCAAAAAATGTCTCCGATTAATAAAAAAATCTTCATAGATTCCTTGAAAAATATTCCTGGCAATTTCAAAATAGCCCTAAAAGAGACTATTTCTATAAAAATATTTTAAATAACGAAAAAAAAATTAAAATAGTTCTCAGAGTTCTACTTTTTTTGGAAAAATCAAAAATAATCTCTTTTACAAAAACATAGCTAAGAACTTCAAAAAATTCTCAAAATTTCCCTAAAACCCGCATCAAAAAATCCAAAAAAAGAAGCAGTGTCCTTGAAAAAATATTTCTAAAATTTCTTCTTGAATAAACTTCAGAGAGTCATTGGAAAAAAATATTTTTCAAAAATTTGAAATAGCCTTCAGTAAGTGCTGGAAAAATCCTAAAATTCAATAAAAATAATCGTTGGAGAGTCCTTAAAATATCCTGAAAATTTCAAAAAAGAATCCACAGATAGTTCATCATACATATACCAGATAAATTAAAAAAATAAACAATTGAAAAGTCCTTGAAAATTGTTTTCTTAAAAATAATAATCTTCGTAGGGCCCTTGGAACGAGAAAATATTCTATTGCGAATGCTTAAAACAACTTCTGGAAAATTCAAAATAATTTTCAGAGCAAGTCTTGAAAAAAATATTCAAAATGATCCTCAGAGAGCCCTTATTCTTGAAAAATTTTTTATAAAAATCCACGTTTAGTCCTTGAAAAATCTGTTAAAAAAATCCACGTTTGGTCCTTGAAAAATATTTAAAATCCACGTGTGGTCCTTGAAAAATTTTCTTTAAAAATCCACGTTTGGTCCTTGAAAAATATTTAAAATCCACGTGTGGTCCTTGAAAAATTTTCTTTAAAAATCCACGTTTGGTCCTTGAAAAATATTTAAAATCCACGTGTGGTCCTTGAAAAATTTTCTTTAAAAATCCACGTTTGGCCCTTGAACATTTTTCTTTAAAAATCCACGTTTGGCCCTTGAAAAATATTTTATAAAATCCACGTTTGGTCCTTGAAAAATATTTTATAAAATCCACATTTGGTCCTTGAAAAATATTTTATAAAAATCCACGTTTGGTTCTTGAAAAATATTTTATAAAATCCACGTTTGGTCCTTGTAAAATATTTTATAAAATCCACGTTTGGTCCTTGAAAAATATTTTATAAAATCCACATTTGGTCCTTGAAAAATATTTTATAAAAATCCACGTTTGGTCCTTGAAAAATATTTTATAAAAATCCACGTTTGGCCCTTGAAAAATGTTTTATAAAAATCCACATTTGATCCTTGAAAAATCGTTTATAAAAATCCACGTTGTTCTTTAAAATTATTTTAGAAAAATCCACGTTTGGTCCTTAAAAAAATATTTTATAAAAAATCCACGTTTGGTCCTCGAAAAATATTTTATAAAAATCCACATTTGGCCCATGAAAAATATTTTATGAGTATCTACGTTTGGTCCTTGAAAAATATCTTATAATATACATTTGAAGCATTGCCCCCTCATTTTAATAATTTTAATAATTGGGTCAAATGGTCTTTAGAAAAATATTCTTAAAAATCCAAATGTACAGCTTCTTTGGTCCTTGAAAAGAAATTTGTGGATTGAAAAAAATATTTTCCTTGAAAAGAAATTTGTTTAAACCCCTACTCATCGTCCTTAAAAAATTATTTCTTATAAACCCCGTTTGTAAACCGAAAAAAAAAACCTTGAAAAAGTATTTCTTGCCAATCAACGTCTGTTAACTTTAAGGTCCTTTAAAGTTTTTTCTTACAAATCCATGTCTGGGACTTCCATGGTCATTTAAAATTTATTCTTTGAAAATCCATTGCCAATCAACGTCTGTTAACTTTAAGGTCCTTTAAATTTTTTTCTTACAAATCCATGTCTGGGACTTCCATGGTCCTCTAAAAATGTATTCTTTGAAAAACCATGGTTGTAGACTAAAAGTTCCTTGAAAAAAATATTCTTTAAAAATTCTAAAAAAATATCTCTTAAAAAATTCACTTTTGTGGCTCTTATGGTCCTTGAAAATATTTTCACGTTTGTTCCTCTCAAAGTCCTTGGAAATAAAATCCAGGTTTGTGCCTCTGATAGTCCTTAAAAATATTTTCTTAAAATCCACATTTTTGGGTCTTTTTTCATTGATTTTTTCATTAAATCCATGTTTGGAAAGTCCTTAAATTATAATCCTTAATAAACCAAGTTTGAACAGTACCTGAAAAATAATATTTATGTAAATTATTTTAAAATGCACGTTTGAAGACTGAAAGTTCCTTAAAAGAATATTCTTTGAAAATCCAAAAAAAGAAATCTTAAAAATTCACTTTTGTGTCTATCATGGTCCTTGAAAATATCTTCTTTAAAAGTCAGCGTTTTGTGCCTCTTAAAGTCCTTGGAAAATTTTTCTTCAAAAATAATATTCAAAAATCAACATTTGAGGTGTTCTTGAAAAAAAATATTTTAGAAAAATCCATATATATAGGCTAGAAAGTTCTTGAAGGCTCAAGAATCCTTAAAAGAATATTATTTAAAAAACACGTTTTATGTCAGTTTGTTATTGGAAAACATTATTTTAAATTCCGTGTTTTGGGACTCTTAATCCTTGAAAATATATTATTTAAAAATCAATGTTTTGGGTCTATTGGTCCTTGAAAATACAATCTCTAAAAATCCACGTTCAAAACTATCATTGCCTTTGAAAAATACATTTTTTAAAAATCTCCCAATATCATTAAAAATACATTATATTTTCTTTAAAAAATTCCTTTCTAACATTTTGTCTCATTTTTCTTTTTTTCATTACAGAATCTCTAGCTCAAGAGATCGAATTGGAACGCAAGACCCGTTCCGCTGGGGCCGATCGTGATGTCAAGAGTCCCTTGGCCGAAAGGCAGGCAGCTGCAGCTTATTATAAAAATTCGGTGTTATTTGGTGGTGCAAATTGAAGAGTTTAAAAGAGGCCAGCGGGCAAAATGAACAAAATTTGCTCAACATGAAATTCCGACGGCACTGTAAAAAGAAATAAAATTCAAAATATAATGTAGGTACAGCAAAGACCTTTTTATCTTATATTCTTATATTAGACAGAAAAAAAAACAACAAAAAATTATAATGATCTCAGAGTGCAATGTAGGAAAAAATGACAAAAAAATTAAACAACAACAAAATCCAAGTGGTGAATTTAAAAGAAGGTCAAATTGGTTAGCTTCTTAGCCGAAATTCCTCTTTTTTGATGAAATTAATGAAGCCCATGGGAAAAAATATAATTTCTCCTCGCCCTAAAATTGTTTCTCAAAAAATATATATTGTATTGAGGTTTAAGAATAGAGACCGAGAGAGAGAGAGAGAGAGAAAGAGAGAGAGAAATGAGCTCCTTTATTTTTCGCTTTGAACCAAGACTCCAATTTTGTTTTCAACCATAGCATAGATTTGCTTGTTTTTACTCGGGAGAGAAACTTGCTCGCGAGTAGTAATGCTCGAAGAGTGAGAGTTTTTTTTACAGAGTTTACTCTTCACTCTTTTATTTGAAATTTAAATAACACCATTTTTAATGGTGCAAGTTAAAAGAAATCTGAATATTTTTGAAGTGAATTGTAACCTCTGACCCATTTAGAAAAATTCCCAATGGAAAATAATTTGATTTTTCCTGGCATTTTAAGATGGGTTTATTGGAAGGAGTATTCGTTATTAGGAACCTGCCCACACCACCACCTCGTCAAGAATAATTAAGGATAAAATCATTGTAGAGAAGTTTAATATAACAACAATAAAAACTAATTAGGGGTTAGATAATGGCTCAGAACATAGGACCCTCTAGGTACATCATTTTCTTTGTAAATAAAACAATTTTAATTTTTGGTTTAATTATTTTGAAGTAAATTTTTTTATATTAAAAAATATAAAATTTTGTAAATAAAAAAAACCTAAAATAGGAAGCGTTAAAATTCGCTTGCGGAAACGTAGTTTACTAAGCTTAATAAGATATTAGCCAAGAAGTAGCGATCTAAGTAAAGACTAAAAAGAAAATAAATGCTTTTAGCCAGAAACAGCAGCTAATAACTGTAGCATGTGAAGCGAGGTTTAGTTGTAGGAGAAAAAAAAACCCAAGTATTGACAGTGGGACCTCTTTTAAATCGACACTCTCGAATAAGGAAAATATTTGAATAATTATCTTTATTTGAGGATATTTAACTTTTTCACAAGGACCCCCCTTTACTTAGGGGAGGAAATTTTGGAAAACCATTAATTTCCATTCATTCAAGGTTCCACTGTCGTTCATTTTTGTAAATATTAACATCCCACAACAAGACTTTTTATAAAAAAAATTGATTTCACTCTTTAAAAAAATAATTAAAAAATATATACAGAATTTTAATGAATGAGTGGAGGAAAGTTGATATGTTAATAAATAAATTTAAATAAAAAATACTTAAATATTATTAAATAAGAATTTATTGCTGGAGAAATCCCTAGAAATTGCCTCGAAAGTTTTTTTTAGTTGGATAAGAATTTTAATGATTTTTTTCTCATTTTTTATGCTTAATAAAAATAAAGTAAAAGTATATTTTAAATTTAAGTATTAAAATAAAAACATATATATAGCTTAAAAAGAAACAACAAACACACCCACACATAACCTTATAACATAAACTAGGTTTATTTCATATACAATAATTTTTAAAAATATATAGACATAGCATTAATGCCCCCACAGATCCCCAAAAAAAAAATACATAAATTTAAGGAAAACTAATTTTAAATTTAAAAAATATTTAAAATGAATTTTATTATATATAAGCCTAAAATATAAATTGTATGACTTGAAAAAAAAAAAAACACACACAAAAACAAAATCAACTAATCTCACATGCTTCCCCTCAAAATCATCATTTTCCAAAACCAAAAAAAAAACACATTCCCCCAAAACACAATCAGACCACAATTTAATTATCCCAAAAAAAAGAAGGAAACCTCAAAACCCCCAAAAAATAATTAAACACACAAAAAATTATAAAACACACACACAAACACCTACTTTACATACCTACAAACAACTAAAAATGCATCTATTACACACCAACATCATCCTTATCAAATATTTATATCCAAACAACAACAACAATAATTACAATAAAATACTACAACAATAACATTGAAGAAAATAATAATTTATAAATTGAAAAAAAAAAAAAAAACAAAACAACAACACTGAAATTAAAATAAAACCCTAAATCTAATAATATAATTATTATAAATACTAATAAAAATGCTTCGTATTTAGATAACAAACTGACAGCAGAAACAAAAAAATTAACTGAAAATTATACACAATACCCACATTATATACAATGCTAAGCTCCTCCTCTTTATGCCCCCATCTCCTATCGCTCGCTCCTACACAATAGTAACAATAAATTATTATTATTATTATAAAACAAAAAACAAAACACATTAATATTACGATTATTATTATAAACAATACAAAACAAAAAAACCCTAACATATATTATTAATTATTATTATTGAATAAATGCAAAAAACAATACAAAAAAAAACATCAAACAACAACAGCAAAAATCAAATAAAAATAAATTATTATTAAAACCATAGATGATGAAAATGACATTTTATTTATTACTTTGGTCATACAAATATTGATGCGGGGGGAAAATGTATTGATGTGGTAAGTATGGTACAAATATTATGAATATGGATGGAATCCTAAAATATGTTGTGATAGATAATTCCGAATCCTTTGCTTCATGGCTATTTTTGAGCTGAAATATCCCACAACCGCAAAATACAAAAATATTACACATATGATTTAAAAGAATTTTATCCCAAAAAACATTTCAAAATTGTGAAACACAAGTTGGAAAGTTTCAGTCGTTGTATCGAGAGATATACGCAGGGTGATTTGAAAGAACTGCAACCAACTTCAGACTGCTGTCATTTCAAAGCCACACGTCCGACAGCTGTTAAAATTATTCCAGTGACAACTTATAATATTGTTTACAGGCGTACAAAAGCATTTTGGTGAGAATTTTCCAGAAAAAATATATTCGTGATGGAATTCAAGCGTGATAGTGGTGAAAGTTGTGGGTCAACCCGTTGGACTATTGTGTCTGAAGTATTTTGGAAAGCAGGGTTGGCGCTAAAAAATACCAAACTGTCGATAACCTCAAGCAAGCGCTTCGCCGGGAATGGGCCAAAATACCGCAGAGCAACATACGGTCAGCGTGTGACGGTTTCGGGTGACCAATTCGAACAAATAACATAAATAACGATGGGGGTATAAACAAATCGAAGTTATATTAAATAAATAAAATCCTTCAAAAATATTTAAAACAAGTAAGCAAAGGCTATAGCCGTGCGGGGCCGACCATGTGATACCCGGCAACACTACAATGTTAGAAGCCCCCTTATGTCCAAATCCGTTTTGGAATATTTCGCTTTTGAAATTATGACACGGAGCGCTGCCCAGATATTTCTATCAACATTTTGAACAGAGACATTCACCCAATATTTACGCACTACGTCGTGCTGTTAGTTGTTGTGGTCCATTTAAAAGCTAAATGTAATCCAATGGTCAACCGAAATGCTAGAATTATTCTCTGTCCATAACTCTCTTCTTAGGCGTGTCGATTGGCTTTATTGTGCCAGGAAATTTGATCAGGAAATTTTTTCAGTTTTTGGTCCATTTTAATCCCAAAAACATATTGCGGATATCTTTGAAAATAATAGGCCTAGCCCTTCTGAACCTAACCCTACCCTTATGAAAATATTCGTGAGGATCGGACGATAATTGCAGACTGTATATAAACCAAAACCTGTATTGTAAGGTGAAAAAATATTACAAAATATACACTTTAATATTAAGTCAAATTGAAAAAATCGCATGCGATAAAATATATGAAAAAATTAAAAAAATGTCACAAAATATTACAAAATCTATAATAACACCATTATTGGCATATTTTTATGCGATAAAAATTGATTTTATTTCTTAATTCTGAATTGACAAAATTTGTCAAAATCGGTCTAGCCATTCTTGAGATATAAGCATTCCATCTAACATTCCTTTCCTTTGTATACACTCAACTTATATATTTCGCTATATATGTCCGACATATTTACTATCGGCATCTACGTAACGGTCAGAATTGACCTGTTCGTCTATTTGTGATTTCGCCGGGATTAAAAATATTCGCGGTTAGATGGAAAATTTGACTTTTATTTAACACAAATGTTGTGGCATATTTCACCCACCAAATATTACCCAATGACCATCAAAATTGGAAGGCTTCTGCCCAGCCATGAGCTCTAGCCACATGCTAACTTCCGCTTTGATTGGTCTATAATTGCGACCTGTAGAGCAACTGCAAAATCAGGAATTTTTTCAGTTTTTGGTCCATTGCAACCCCTAAATATTATGCAATCATCTCCAAAAGAAATAGGGTTCTATTCTGACCCTAGCCCCACCTCCATTCTAAATTTCGTGAAGATCGGACATCGGATAATTGCGACCTGTAGAGTGATTACAAATTAACATGGAAAGACGGACATACATAGCTAGATCGACTCAGCTCGGCGAGATAGGAAGATCCATATATACTTTCCTATGTGGGAAATCAATATTTCGAGGTGTTACATAATTTTTGGCCCAATCAAGCTTATAATACCCCCAACACAAAGTGTTGTAGGGTATAGAAAAACAGATTAAATATATTAAAATACTGTAAGTTCGGCCGGGCTGAACTTTGAATAGCCTCCACCATTTGGAACAAATGTGGAAATTTTCCAAGATAAAAGTTAAAAGTATCAGTTTTGCCGACAGATATTTACCCTTAGGCAATGTTCGATAATTTAAATATATTTTGATTTTTGTTATGATTATTCAAATTGTTGACCCTCTCCCTGTTGACCTACTCCATGGTTCCGATGGAAAGTGCCAATATTGTCCTTTATATGTAATAATTTTCAAAACATTTTCGAGTACGTGACGTACCAGATAAGTCGACCGAAGTATTCCATTTTCATACTTCATCTAATACAGATTGGCATGGGCAAAATTTAAAGAAAGGGGAGGTACCAGGAGAAATGGTCCGATCTTTACAGATTTTGTGTTGATGGAAATATTGAGATGCGTCATGTCAGAATGGAATCGGATGTTAATTTCGCGTTTTTTGAACTTCATAAATATTCCAAATTTTTACCCTTTGTGGGGGGGTTCCGGAAAGAGTTGACCATTATACCAGACCTTGGGTAAATAAAAATTTTGTGATTTGCGTAATTTGAAGGGAACCGTATGTTAATGTATGTCGGGTTTTTATTATCGTTTTTATTTATTCAAAACTTTGACTCTTTGTGGGGAAGGGACCAGAAGGAGTCGATCGATACATGTTGTCGTCACATCAGATCTTGGGTTAATAAAAATATTGTAAGTTGGGTAATTTGAAGACAATCGTGCTCTAACATCACATTTTATAAGAGATATAATTATTCAAAATTTTGACCCTTTGGGGGTTTGCAATGTACTAAGTTTGGATCAAATCGTTGTGTGCTCGAGAAGGAGAAAGACAGACAGACGGACCGTCTACAGTAATATTTATCTATCCTTTATAGCTATTTTAAGCAGACGACATTAGAGAGGATCTTGAGATTTCATCCTTTGTGGTATGCTCAACACCGGCAACGTGATCTATAATTTTTGAAAGTAGACTGCCTTCGATTTTAAAATCAATAATTTCGGAACTACAAGAGATATAGACATATATGACACTATTTTGTAAATGTAAGTGTAGGCTATATATAATATATGGTCCATTTCCATATATATAATGGACTATATAATATATAGTCCATTTTCGACTTTTTAGAGATTTTTCAAAGAGTTCTGGCAAAAATGTTATTGTAATGCATTGCTCCGGATTCGGTTCAAAAAAGCCCATCACTTGTTGGATACATATTTCCATAAGTTTTCAAATGATATTTTGAAGATAACAATTTTTTAGAACCGGACATAACACGGATTTTGTATGCAAACTTTCGGGTCAAATAACAAGGTATTTCCGCCACGAAAGATATACTTTGCCGTAATCAGGTTAAAAAAAGTCAATTAAGTTAATTTAAGTCAATCCGAGCATAACTCCGAAACTAACTATAGCCTTGCTTTCCTTCAGGGGATAAAGCCCGAAAAAATCGGAATTTTCGGTGGGTTTATACTGACCGTGGTGATTATGCTAGTTTTTGAGGTGGACATAAACCCCACTGTATAATGCGGGTTATGACAAAAACAAACCGGATATAAGCTCCATTGCAATTATGGGTTATGGATTATATCCAGGCACCGATTTATCCTGAAGGTATTAAAGAAGATCGAACAGTGTTATATTTCAGATAAATATATACAATTATACTCCTCTGAAACAAAATTCCTAATAAGATATAATCGTGAATCTTATTAGGAATTTGTTTCAGAGTCCCCTAAAAAATATTTTCCAATAAAACAACGTTGTAGTCCTGATTGACTTTGTACCCATATTCTGGAAAAAAATGTAGATCTGATAGTCCTTGAATAAATTATCCTGAATATTTCTTTTTAAAAAACTATAAAAGTTCTTGAGAAAATTCACGATTTTAGTTATTAAACAAATATCATACGAAATACTATGAGTTGCATTCCATAATGCCAGGTAGATTCTTCTACATCAAGTCTTTAAAAAATATTTGTTAAATTTTGCAGAGTAATACTCTAGCTTTTTCTTCTAAAAATATTCTCAACAAATTAACAATTATTTTTCTGAGAGCCCTCTAAAATGTATGCTTTCAAAATCCAATAACTGAACATTTAATTAGTGGCATATGAATTTCGATTTTATTGGCGCTAATTGTGGCTTGAAGCGATTTAACTTTGACAGTTGATGGAATTGGCGAATTAAGTGTGTTATGTATCGCTCAGCATCCAATGTTTGACGAAACAAAAACTCAACACAATATTTTTTGTCTTATTTCCAAAAGTAACTTCACAATGCATATGGCGTTTTTGCCGACACCTTTCATTATCTTTCAATTTAATTGTTTGATTTATTGATTTGCAATAAACAAAGAAAGAAAGAAAGAACAGTTATACAAAAAACATTAACAATTCAAGTTGAAAACGGTGAAGGAAAGAGTAAAAGCCTTTTAAAGAAAGGAAGACGGCGACGAGCTTCATAAATGTATGGCAAGGACGGACACAAACACACACGCTTACACTCACACGAATATATGACTTGGCAACCTCTCAAAAGAGGCAACCAACTAAATACCCGTTTCTCGAATTGTATCTCTCATAAAACCGTCAATCAGTTAAACGTTCTTCTTTTATAAGTTTTGAAATTATAAACATTAAAATTAACTCGAATGCGATCGGTGTTGGTATTTTTTCTGATCGCGAGGTATCTCTTCTTTTTTTTTGAGATAATAACCCATAATCTAATGCCGTTTGTCCAAAAAGTCCCAAAATTGTTGTGAAAAAGCATTCATCCATGGCATGGCTGGGACAGAGTCACAAACATACAATCAT